TGCAATGATTAAGGAAAGGTCAGCCTCTTTGCCCGTATTACCTCATCAATTACTTAGCATACTACAGTATTAGTACAAGATTATCATTAAAAATCCTCATCTCCAGCCTTCAGAGTCTTATTTCATTCACAGAAACATAAGAGAATCTTGTCCTTTTCTTTGCTATTTACTATACTGTGATTTTTTTTAAATTATTTTTTACTTTTGCAAATTCATATTTGGAAAGTATGCATTCAGGTCACATCTAAGAATAATGAAGGGATGCATCAGTCTTTATTTGTTAAAGGATTTGAAAAGTTTGTCTCATGAAAAGCAATTAGTAAGTGTTAGCAGTTGCTTTTGGATTAACTGTAGCCCAGGTCAACAACTGACAGATCATCAAGATAGAAGATTACCAAACTGATGACTACGAGGTGAAATTGTACTACTACCTAAAAAAAGCCAACAACAAAAAGCAAAAAAACTCTCAGATGGAAAAAAAAAAAACCAAACATAAAAATACCCCAAAACCCTGAACCCCCAAAATCTTCCTTCAAGTATTGGAGCTCTAGAAGTTCATGTTCTTGTAGCTTTGGCAAAGCTCATTTGCTGATCTTAATTGCTAGGATGTATTTCAAAAGAATTAACTTTCTGTCTGTCCATATGTGTGTGCACATTTTAACAGGATGTCAGTTTTCATCTGTCTCCTACCTCGTAACTGCGTTTTTTACATTGCTCCTAGAAACACCACCTTCCTTTCTCAGGTTTAAGTGTGTGAAGTTGTAGTACTATTTCTATATAAATGTCTGCTGAGCTGGAATGTCCTAAAGCGTCAGTTACCATGAGTTCAGTAAATACAGAGCTGTACTACATTGGGGGAAGGAAAAATGTGGAAGTAGATTTCTAGGCCAATGGCACACAATGGAATCATTTTCTAAACTCTTCTAAGAGGTGTTTTCATCCGTAAAGGCTGTATTCAGGTGGATATCTTCTCTTTCAATGAGACTCTTAAAGGTGGAGGAGGAAATGAGATTCTGGACTCCTCTGTTGCAGATGTCCATGAGTCAGTTGTATATAATTTCTGCATATTGACTTAGACATTTTAGGGAAACCAAATATCCATTAGAGAATCTTCATACTTAGCTATTTCAGTCAGGGTTTTCTTTGAAGTTTAAATGGTTAAATGCTACGTGAGATCCTTGACTGAATAGTTGGAATCCCTTTAAGAAAACATTGTGTTAGATACCAAGACCAGGCACACTTGAACTGCAAACTTGAGTGCAATAAAAGCTCAAGTACTGGTTAGCTGGTCTTTGCAGATGTGTCTTGCTGACATTTTAGTTACATATCTTTATTACAATATTTTAAAGCTACCCTAATTGTTCCTATATTTATAGAAAGGACAAGATCCTACATTATTGCACAGTAACCTGTTTACATGTGTGCTTTAATTGGGAAAAAGTCTCCTCTAATTAGACTAGTGATTTATTGTATGTATAAAGTGAGCAGGAGCTACTGCAGGGGGAAGCCGAGGAGGGGTTGGGCTGAAGGCTGAGCAGGCCTGGAGTCTTCACCAGCCCTGGAAGATACTGTACCAACCTGTGTCATGTCTTAATATGCTGTCCTTCTGTTCGGTCGTAGTCCCTAAAGCAGCCACCGACAGATGCAGTGCAGAGGAGCCAAGACTCCTGCATTGGTCCAAGGTAATCTATGTCTTGCAGAAGTAAATTATAGCTCCAGAATGACGCATAGAGCACATTTCAAAGAGTTTTCTTCTCAGCCACCTCTTGCCTACCGAGGTGGCAAGCCCACCAGCAGTGGTAGTTATCAAACGTGATGCCTGTGTGCAACAGTTGTGCTGTGTGCTCATTGAGTCCCAGGTGCAGGTCGATGGCTCAGTGGCATTGCATTTGCATTAATAACCTCTCCTTTTACACCAGCAATTTCCCTGAGTGTCAGCTGCTGGAGGAATAGCAAGCAAAGATGTACAACTGTGAAATATGGTAAAAAGTAATATCTGCCACCCAAAATGAAGAGGTTAGTAGGTCTAAGTTGAGACAGTGTTTCCTTTGTGCAAACATGTTATAGCTTGTTTTTAAGGTATGGAGGCATGTTTTGGGCCCATCATGATCCTTTTACATCTGAGTACTCTCTTCCTTCTTAAAAGAAATAACAAAAAAGTGGTCTTGTGCTCCTCTTTGAGACATAGGCACATGAAGCCTATTGCTACGTTAGGACCTTTGATGTCCATTTCAGATTAAATTCTTATGTAGGATTCCTGCCTTTTTTAGGAAATTTGGCTGAGCTTTTTTTTTCTGTTCTAGTGGTTCTGTGTGATTTTTCTCTGATAACATACAGCTTGGGATTTATCTATCTTCTGTATCTTTTATTTGTGGGGATGTTCCCAAAAGTCATTGTGAATGTTTTAATTTTTTATTTTATATATTTGCTCTTTATTGATCACTTTAAAGCTTATAGATGCATATATAATATTCTAAAAGGTTTGGTTGTAATATTTTAAAGGGAATTGCCTTGAGATATCAAATACCCTTGTAATATCCTGCAGTATGACACCACTGAAAGATGTATTTGGAACTCTGCCTTTTTATTAGTCCTTTTTGGTAGCTTGTGTCATCTGTAAAAGTAATAATCTCAAAATAATTTTATAGTGAATTCTTTGTATGATGATTTAAAACTCCAGAAGATAAACTTTCCTTATCTTATAGGCCAGACCAAACAGCTGAACCCACATATTTGGGATTGAAGCAGTAAGGAAACCCATTGAAAGCAGTGGCTCAGGGGATCCTCTGCTTAGATCAACTGAACAGTCTTGCCCTAACTTTCTGTAATACTCAACTGTCCTGAATACAACCCTCAAGTGGGTTTTCAAAAGTTACAGACTTAGTGACCTGTGGAAATGTTTTGTGTTATATTGTTTCTTGTGGAATAAGAAATACCAAATGGCATTCATAATGTCACATTCCTCCTGAGAAGGTGTAATTCTGAACTTTCTCCTCCATGACTCTCCAACTCTGAAGATAAATATTAAAACTTGTGTGTTGTGGTTTGTTAAAAAAATGTAAATTTATGTTCAAAATTGTTTGTCAGTCTCTCAGAAAATTAGAAGTAATTAAATAAAAAGTTCTACAGATTTGTGCCATTTCTGTACCCTCTCATCTCAAGATGCTGTGCAAAGCAGACAATTGTAATAACTTGCTGCTACTCCTTTCCAGCTTAATTTGATCTTGTTCCTTAATTCTGACAGATTGTTTTTAATTTTCCCATCTGTTCCATAAAAATCTCAAGTGATTGACTCTTAGGAAAAAATAATGTCTAATAGCTGAGCCATTTTTAATGAGTTGGTATGAGTTATTTAATGAGACATGCTGAAGAAGGCAAGCCAAGTGAAAGATTGGGCCTGGGGTGGTGAATATAAAGAAAGGTAAAGGGCAACCGTATGCTTCAGGAAGTCTCCACCCTTCTCTTTAACCTCAGCTTTAAACTGCTTCTGTCTCCAATTTCAGGCAGTGCACAGTCTTAGACCCATGGACAAAAAACAAAGGTTCAGTAGCAGTAATTCCTTTTCCCCTTTTATTTAGTGCAATACCTACCCTAAGACAATATTGCTTTGGGGAGAGGAACAGTCATGCAGAGGAGGAAAAAAAAAGATTAAAGAATAATACTTAAGTAAACTTAAAAACCTTGTAGGCTGTGGTTTAACTTCATTTCTTCTAGCAGCCTACGCTGTAACTCGCAGATATTCTAGTGTTAGGTCAGAAAGAACCCCCATGCCAGTTAACAGAGTGAATGTTCTCCTCCAGCCTCTCTGAAGGCTAAAACCTTTGCTTTAAAATTGTCTGCAAATGACATCTCCTGGGGCAGGAAGCCATCAGTATGCAGTACAGGTCTTTGAGAATAGCAACCATGAATATAAATGTTAACATCTGGACTTCTCCCTTCTGTTTTGGTTTTTATGTATTATTATAATAAACATTAACATTATTTTTAATAATCATCAAATAGCAGCTTCTCTGGCAGCTTGAGACTTCATTATTAAATAGTGAAAATAAATGTACAGCTTTTTTACAAGAAGAGTTGAAAGTTTGACTCAACTCTGCAAATACGCCATTGTTAGTCTAATCTATTATAGAATTCATAGAATAATTAACTTTCCAGTTGCATACATTGAGGCATAACAAATGAGAGAATGCTACCATGGTAATGAGCAAAATATACACTTGTTTTTGCAGGTTCTAGTGGGCTACCAACTAAGGAGAGAGACTTTCATCTGCATTTTTTTTAACTAATAAGTCTGAGAGTAATTTAAGTGAGCAGAGAACATTACTGCTCCACACTTTCATAGCATCTCCAAATACTGAGCCTGTCAGGTTTCCCTATGACGTGTTTCAAACAACCAAAGAAGACAGGAAAGATTAAAACGTGACTTTTAAACCATTGAATATGTTAGCAGTTGAAACTGCTTCTGGTTTAAATTTGTACAAAATTGGACTTGGATGGTGTCTGTTTTAAGGCCCAAGCTCAGCAAGTAGCCACAGATAGGAAATGCTCTGTGCTTGTATAGAAGTCTCTGGCTATGAATGAGACTAGGCTGTGCCTGAGAGTTAGACTGCCCTAATCTGGGACTGGTGTAAGGGAAGAAAAAGATTTTATTTTCAAGGATTTATTTTTTTGTGTCTTGTTGTTACTATGTAGTAGCAATGTTGCTAGAATTGGACTTTTTTGTGTGTGTTGGGGAGAAGGAATTGATTGGTGGCTTACTTTAAATGGCAGAAGTGTCAAAAGTGACAATTTTGGGTAAATTCTCACGGACGTTGGGAACACGACCCATTATCTATCCCTCTTGATGGATTTTGGACAAGGATCTTGTTGCATTGTGACTTTAGTAATACATCTTCTATATATTTATGTAGTTCAAATTAAATTTGCAAGATGTAAGTTTAATAGTTCTGCATTAATCGTGCATAAAGCATTGATCTTTTGTTTCTTATCTTCTTCCTCAGTGTGTCAATCCTGATCTTTAATACTTCTCGGCAGTGCTTTGTTGTGGTGAAGCAGTTCCGCCCAGGTAATCCTCTTTTTTTAGACTGACTTGTGCTCTCTAGTGAAGCAAGCTTTTAAGGGTTTAGCAGTTAAAAGTTGGTGCATCTGTGGTGATAAAATCTTTGTTCTATATTCTGTTTCTTTGTATGATAGCCCACCCTTTTCAGTTGGTCAGAATTTCTAACCAGGGAAATTTCCATTACAGATGAAACGAATGATCAGGGTAGCCTTACATTCTGCTTTTGGGCTAGTCATTGTCCTGTTTCGGATGAAATTACAAACAGCTTTACAATGATCATGCAATAGATTGCTTTTATTTGAGGTTTCTACTTGACCTGTCTAGTATTTAGTAGGCAGCTTCTGTGCAGAAGCACAATATTTTTTTGTGTATGTTAAATGTTCCTTTTTTCTAATGTGTCATTGTGCTTTGTATGCTTGGGAATGTAAAATGAGGGAAATTCAGGACTGTATGCTTTTTCATCAATATGTGGACAACTTCATTTTACCAGTTATTATGAATTTAGATTAATATACTTTTTTTTTTCTGAGTTTTTGTATGAGTTATTTTGATTCAAAGCAATATTTACTTTCTGGAAGTTAAAAATGAAATGCATATTCTCTGTCAATTAAAAAAAATCACAAGATAGTTCACTGACTGTTGCTAAGAGACCATTTCAAGACTGTTCATGGTAGACTTTATAGAAAACTTTCTAGGGTGGTGTTGTGCTGTCCTTTCTTACTGACAGTGATTGACAGGCTCTTCGCTGTTCTGCAGCACTGTTATACTGACAGTACATGCTTCTCATGAAGCAGTATGTTGACTATTATAAAGTGTTTGTTTATTTGTTTATTCATAATCCAATGTCTTTTATTTGCCAGCCGAATAAAATGGCTTATATAGCTGTCACTTTCTTTGAGGCAGTCTTAGGCAGAAGCCTTCATATATGTACATATATATATGTACTGAACAGCAACATGTTCATTACATCATCCGTATGGAAGTGTCAAATCTGCCTCAAAAGACTGGACTGTTCGTGAAGTTAAACTCTTCCAGAGGCTGGAGCTGGTCAGAAACTTGGTCTTAGGGACAGTGGTCAGTCAGACACAGCATAGCAGTTCAGTGATCACAACCATGCCCTGACATTACTCACATCACCATAATTATATTTCCATTCCATGGTTATTGGCTGCCTCAATGCCTGTTCCACAAAGCAAAAATAAAGGCTGAGACTTTTCTCATTGCTCGCTCCTATCAGGGTCCCACCAGAAAGGTGATAGCTCGTTACTTGTGAGCAAACAGCTGCCGCTCACTCCCCTGGCACGTCCCCTGCATGTGTGCTGGCTGACATATGTGCTTGCCTTTCCTTAGGGTGTGGTGTCATGGTCAGGTTTTGACATTGAAGCCTGTGCTGCTTGCAGAGGCAGTCATCCCTCCCCATACGTACATTCCCACCCCATTCCCTTTGGCAGCACCAGCCCATATGCAGCCACAGCAGAGGTCTTATATGGCTGCAAACAGAAAATTTTGAGGATTAGGCAGCCTGACTGACTGACCTGAAAGAGTTCATGCTGGCTTGAGGGATGGCAGGAGCACACAACCGGGATGAGGCAGACAGGACCATATTTTTCAGTGTACTGTGGACTTAGATCATCTTGAATGATCATAAAATCATACATTTGGAAGAAGCAGAGAGAAAAAAGTTACACATATATCTCAGTAGTTTCCATGTTAGTTCCTCACCGGTGACTGATTGGCAAAGGTTTTGGGCAGTGCTCATTTTGGTAGTCAATTGACCACACGTTTTCAAATATAATAAAATAGTATGTTCCTGGGAAAGGCTAGGGTTAGTACCTATGAACATGAGGCCTGTTTTTTTCACTGTAAGTATAATGACCTTTCAATGGATTGTGATGTTTGGTTTTGCATTGAATTAAAATAAACAGCATCAAAGATTTGAATCATAAGCCGTGTTCTGTTTCGGGAGATATGAAACACCAGTGCAATCAAAGAGAAATCAGACGTTTAAAGAAAAGCTGGCATGTTCCCCAGTCAGCTAAACCCCACTAACCACTCAGTCCATACTGTTGTTTTCTTCTCTTTAGGGACAGCAAACAAGTCCCTATATAAGTCATCTAACAAGGCTGCTTTGAATAACAGTAATGATCTTATTTGATGAGTTTGGTTGAGCCATGTGTCCTTCATCCCAGCTTTGCAGAAAGGAAGGCAAGTACATCAATTCTACTGGAGTTTCCGCTCTGAGACTTCTTACAGCTGAGTGGCTCCAGGGTAATTAGTCAAGATGTTTGATGAGCACTAGATGGTTGTTTGAGTCCTCACTGTGCTGCTGCTCATCACATGTGTCCATATGATGCAGGAGACTGCCCGGTGATGACGAAGTGGCAGTTTCTGACCAAAGTAGCATGAGCCATTGGAAGACAAGGGAGCAATTTCACACGGGACTAGTGGGTGGGTGACCATGCTGGGAGCTGAGCTTGTGCGTCTAGTTTCTGCTTTCCGCACTCTTTGTGCTTTTGCAATGAGCTGACAACCTGTAATGAGGAAGAGGAGAGTCACAGGATCTAGTTTCTGCTTTCCGCACTCTTTATGCTTTTGCAATGAGCTGACGACCTGTAATGAGGAAGAGGAGAGTCACAGGTTTCCCTCCAAAGAGTGTGCCCTAGCCAATAGGCCTCAGGCTGCTTTTCCATCCAGTAGCTTTATCTCCCCTGGTACATCACTCAGGCAGTCAGTTCTGCACCTTCAGGAGAGGTATGGAGGACTCCTCTGTTCCCTGATATTGGCAGACAGCTTGGTTTTCTAGGCTTTGCTTATCTAGGAGAGATAAATTGAGTTTGAACCTTTGCAAGCCTGGTGATGCTGAATTCATACTCCAACTCCTTGGTGAATGGTCTAATATTTGGACTCTCTTACAGAAGTGGCTGGTATCGCTTATTTTCTTCCTTATCTATGGAGAAAAGCTGTTACTGGGCTTTAAGTGTTGGCATATTGCAGGACTTTGCCCCGAAGAGGACTGCTGGATTAGGTCCTTCTGGGAATGGAGGTTTTGATCTGTGTGGAGCCCAGTTGTGCTGAGGCAGAAGGCGAATGGCAGGTGCCTGCTGGAATGACAGGATGGGTTTCAAGGATTTAGCAGACTTGTAACAGAGAGTTCCTTTAAACACAGTTTCACATTTCTGTTCCCCACACTCTTACCTGCATCCTGTTTTGATGCCCAAGTCCTTTAATGGGGTGTATGTGCTGTTCCTTTTTGTATTTACTGATATGGATATGTCAATACTAAAAAAGGATTAAAACTTAAGAGTATTTGGGTCATCTCAGAGAGATCTTGGAGGTAGTTGTCATTTATGATAATTGGCATAACTTTTAGAAGTTTTTGGAATAATTACAATAGACACCCTTCAAGGATCTGTACCTCAGAGTCTGCATGGAATATTTTTTTGGCTGCCTTCATGCTGCACTTAAAAAAGAGAACCGAGCTCTAGTCATGTCTTTCAAGTACAAAATGGAGGTTCCTTTCCTTAACTGTTTGACTCTCAAAGGCCTAGATGTACCTTCTACAAACAGCTTTGAAAGTTTTAATCTCTGGAGAAAGATTAGGTTTTGGATATAGACATCTCCCTTTCAAGTGCTGATCTTGCTATACTACACTTCTGAGTGTAGTATAGAAGCGTTGCAGAAGGACCCTAGGCACAAATTTCTGGGGTGTAGACTCTTCCTCAGAGGCCAAGTGCCTTGAGAAGTTTTATGCAACAACATTTCTCTAGAGGCCTTGTTGTATATTACAGTTCTAAGAAATAATAAGCTAAATCGAGGAACTGGAACAACAAAAAGTTCTCCATCAAACCTGAGCTCTTTTATATACCAGTTCTGCAAGATTTAGAATAGGAAATAAAAGATAAGCTCGTTTGATAACCATGTTACGTGTATATGAAATATGCATGTAAAATATTTTACTGGAATAAAAATATTTTCAAATTTTAAAACAGTTTTATTCAGGGTGTTTTATAACACTCTCATGGTAACCTATCATGAAAAACAAGGGGATAGACACGACATAATTTCAAAGAAGCAGCAAGTGGGATTATACCTGTAAATTAAAGTTACAATGATCTGGAATTGTCAGTAGTGATTCTTTGTGTGTTAACATCCAGTCCTGCAGTTCTTACTTGGGCAAAATTTCTGTTGACATCAGTGAGAAGTTTTGCTTAAATAAGGACTAAAATCTGGCATTTGCACTTTCCTTAGGAGTGCATTACAGTGGCAGCTGTTTGTAGATTAATTCAAGAAGTCTTTTTCAGACTCCGCACAGGAATCTGTGCAAGGAACTGTAAGTTCAAAAGAGGGATTTTTTTTTTTTTTTTCAAACAAACATACATGCTTTTCATACCGTTTCTAAATAACAGCTGAGTTGACAGGCTGAAAGACTCATCATTGTGCACATGGTACATAATGTGCAACCCAACTTCCCTGCAAGATAACTGCATAGTTTAAATTAAATCCTGATATCCGCATTGCCCAACAAATGGAAGCTGTATGGTGCTTCTGGGACTTAGGCTTCTTGGATGAACTAGCTTGCTTTTTTATTTTTATTTCTCTTAAGGTGTGCATGAATTCATTTTAAATGATGTAAGCACAAACAGAGTTTAAAGAATAATTTTACAGAAATGGCAAGAGAAGCTTTGTTCTCTAAAATTCCAAATTCATAATTTTAACAGATAACACAACTGAATTTCTTGTTACTCTCAAGTACTCTGATGGTTATAAATTTCCAGGCAAAATTTGTGTACCATCTTTTTTTCTATTTAATATGAATAAATTAACATCCTCCCCTCCTTGTTTCTTTTTCTTTTGTATTTTTTTTTCAAGCTGTTTATATGTGTGAAGTAGAAAGGCATCATCCTCAAGTCTTTAAGAATCAGGACAAGGAGAGCTTCTCTCATCTAGAGGATACCTTACCTGCTGTGGTAGGAGTGACCTATGAACTCTGTGCTGGCATTGTAGACAAACCGGACCTTTCTTTAGAAGAAATTGCATGTGGGGAAGTCTTAGAAGAGTGTGGCTATCGTGTTCCTGTTACAGACCTAAGGAGGATCACTTCTTACAGGTAAATAGTAGTAAGTTAAAACACTTTGCATTTTGTAGTTTCACAGGTTGCTGAAGTGGCCTGAATGTAGATTAATGTTCCCTGTTCCCTTATTTAAGCAGTGTGTTGGAGGAACATCAACATCTGGAAGTATATGAAAGGTGTAATTTTCAGCAAGTGAGAGAAGTATTTACAGGGACTTAAGGAATTACAAACTCATAATTATGGGATTGAATTCCCAGTAAGAATGATACTGTAATTTATTCCAAAGACTATTAGAACTGGGAAAAGTTGCACTGGGCTCTTCAGAGCTCAAACTTTGGATTGTTACAGTGCTAGAAAACAGCCCATCTTCACTGGGTCAGGCATTCTCCATCTCTGATTCTTACTATTCTGATTAACAATAGAAGCTGTCTAAGATGGACTCTGGTTTACCATTAACACAATTTTGCAGAAGCATGAGAACCTATGCCATTAGATGTCTTCATAATATTTAGGCTGTAATTAAGCCTTCTCTGAATTGGACAATAATTAAAGTTATATATGAAGATTTTGCTGATTTGACTATGAGAATTTTTACATTATATTTTTTGCAGAGTTTCAAATAGTTATTGAAATAGATTTTAAAATAGGTTTAAAAACATATCTTAGGAGTAAGAGGAAAACTTAATATGTAAGATGAAAAATACAAAATGTGAGTTGTTGGAGGGGAAAAAAAAACCACAAAACCCTCAGGAGAAACTTTGCACACAGCTTTAATCCCATTATATCTCCTTCCCAGCTTCTAGTATTGTTATCCAAAATGTATGTATGTGTTTATATTTTACAGAGAAAGCAGCAGGTTTTTTACTTTCTTTATTTTGCTTGACATCTCCATTGAACTAGGCCCTGTCATTGGTTTTTAATTTGGGAATTGAATACAAATCCACAGCTGTCAATCCTGGCAAGTGTTATTTCCTGCTGGATTAACAAGCAGTGCTTCTGTTGAGGGGAGGGGGTGAATCACAGGAGCTGTCTTTTACAACTCCTTGAAACTGGATTAAGGGTTTGTTCTACTGAAAGGAAAAGTACTTTCTAGATTTATAAGCAAAAGCTGTCTATAGAATTTCATAGGTTGGGTGACACTGACAGGCTATAGCATGCGGATACATACATGTGTGTATGTACATATGTGTGTGTATACAAACACAAAACAGGAAAAGTAGAATGTAATTTCTGTAGCTGTAGAAGTTTGTAGCTTCAGTGTAGAAGTTTGACTCAACGTTAACAATTTACATCTGGCTAGAACACCGTATGTTTTTTGGCTGATAAACGTCTTGGTATCTCACAGGTGGTTGTTCTTTCAGTTGCTTTTTTTATTGCGCTGACTTGCAAAGAGAGTATACAATTGGAGTTTTCTCTGTTGAGATCCATGCAAAGGGCACTTAATGTGTTAATCCGCCAATCCTGCTTTGTCTATGTGGGCACAGCTTTCTGTCCATGGAGGTCCATGGTGAAGTCAGAAGGGCCTGTATAGTATTTACTTTTTAGATTAATATGAAAGGTTGGTATTTTACAGTTCCTTTTGTTGGACTTCCAGTGCTATGTATTAGAATTTTATTCTAAATGTTGTGGTCTTCCTATTAGGAGTGTCCTGTTCTTCTTCCTTCAGCGAAAGACTGGCATATCTGTCTGATCCTTGAGGATTTGATGCAAAGACAGGAAGTAGTTGGTTCCCCTATCGTCTGCTAAGGACATTTTTTACATAATACCTATATTACATATAAGAATTTCTGGCCTTTTTCTAAGTGTTACAGGTTTTTCCAAATGGTTTATGCTGCTGTTTCATGCTGTGACTGTCAATACAAATCATTGACATAAAGCATTACATTAATGCATATGCATGCTGTTAATAATTACAAAACATCATGCACTTCTATTATCTGCCATCCCAGATCCTTTTAATAGTTGCTCTATATTATTTATTGATCCAGTGCATCAGGTCAGAGAGAAACGTTAGAAAATGGAATTGGAAGGAATTTGGGGAGGATCTCATCTAGACTGCTGCTCTTACAAAGATCAGGCTCAGCTGGATTTAAATCTGACAAATTTAAATTTAAATTTAAATCTGACTAAATCTCTGACAAATGTGCATCTGGGCTTTCTCTAAAATCAGATGATTTCATAGACTCTCTTGGAGGGTTTCAGAATTCTGTCTGAAGTGTCTTACTATCTGCACCATGAGCAAGTTTTTCCTCATGTCTTGCCTCAATTTCCCTTTCTTTACCTAAAGTCTGAGACCTACTACCTTGTTCCCAGTGGACATGAAGTACTTCTGCACCTTCCACATATTTGTTTGAACATGTCTCCCCTTTATTTTTGCCTATGCCTATTTTGATTTAAGCTTTCTCTTTAGACCGTGTTTTCTAGATGTCTGATCATTTGTTCTGCTGTCCTCTGCAGCCTTTCTGTCTGGTCTGCATATTTCTTAAAAACATAGCGCCCAAAGTGGAGCACAGTATTTTAGCGGGGGCTTTACCAGTGTCAGATAGAGTGGAAGCATTATTTCCCTAGTCTTACAAATGATTTTGTTTATATGCTGTAGTATGATGTTTGCCTTTTTTGCAGTGGCATTATGTTATTGACTTACGGTCCACAATGCCTGTCCAATCGCAAAACTGCGTTCTGCAGCGGTACTGCACTGTCATTCACCTCCTGTCTGTAGTTGTGCTGTTTGTTATTGCTGGCTGAACACAGAGACTTAAACTTGCCTTTACTGAATTGCATCCTGTTTTTTCAGACCATTTCTCCAAGTTGTTGGGATGATTTTGAATTCTAATATTCATCTCTAGCTTCTTATAAATAACCTATCTCAGCTTTGCTACCTGCAGTCTGTATTTCAACATACAAGTCCTAAACAAAAATAGTGAGTTGTATTGAATGGAGAACAGTTCCCAGTGGAATCCTGTTTAGATTGTGTTTCCAATTTGACAGTGATATCCATTCCATGAGTACCATTTTCACACTAGTTTTGCACCTATTTCACAGTTTCTTTGATTTCTAAGTATATCATGATCTCCTAACTTCTTAATGAAACTGTCACATTAGATAGCAAAAGCCTTGATAAACTGAAGTTGTATTGTTTGTGTTGCTGCCCCTATCCACAAGACCTGTTATCCTATTATAGCTGATATTTGTTTGACTGCACTTGATATATTCCTTACAGGTCTGTTAGCAGTTGTTCCTTTCTTGATGTAAATAAAACTGCATTAAAGTATTTAGATAACTATAATTAATAATTACTGAGTTAAGTCTATTAGATTTTTGTAGATAAAAACTCAGGGGTGTATGCACGGTGAAAAGGCTTTCGTACAAACAAGGGGTTTTGTGTCATCACACCCTTTGGTCTGAAAGCAAGGAGTTGTCTTGTATTCCTAATGATACCCCTTCCTGGAGTCATAGTCATGAGAAGGAAATTGCCTGACTGGAATAAGAGCAGCACTTCAGCTAGACCTGACAGAAGGAAATGGAAAGCAGAAGACACATCAAATGTAATGGGAGAAACGGTTTTGGCTAGGGAGGTCAATACAGTTCTGTGGATAATGGATTAAGAAGGGGAGAGCATGGACAATGAGTAGGGAGAGCTTAGATTAGGGGGAAAAAGTGGAATAGAAAATCCTCGAGTAGAAAAAGAGGAAGAAGAGATGAAGGAACAATGCAGAGAAAAAACATGGGCTGAGAACTAAATGGACTTGGGGAAAGTATGTTCATTGTGGTGGAGAAGAATGCTCTTTAACGAAATGAGGAAAGTACTTAGACTGTATTCAAGCAGAACTTTGCTCTGTTCTGAAGCAGTGGGAGCAGTAAAGATTGGAAGTAATCTGAAGATTGCATTTTATTTCTCATTAATTATCAGGGCCTGCAACAGTGGGTTTAGGGGAATTTATTTTTTTTTTATGTTTCTCAGCTAACCAGAAAAGGTTAACTGCAATACTGCTACAGATATTTCAAAAGCACATACAAATAAGCCTTAGACCCCATTCTTAAGCTCTGTCAAAGCTCCTGTGATGTGATACTCATCAGATAGAAGTCAGGCACTGAATTAAGCAGATCTCAGACTTAATTACCTTGAATGATCCACAGAGTAGCTGTGGAGTCAATGAGAAATTAGGAAAGAAGCCAGGAGTTGGGGAATTTACGCTAGTTGAGTAAGAGTCTTTGGAACAAGTTGTTCCAGCAGCAGGAGGACAGTATGGCGTGAGTGAATGGAGACTGGATTGGGGACAGATAATGAGAAAGAGAAACCTATTAAGAGGAACTTGACTGGAGCAGGACAGAGGAATCACACTTTGAAGAATCAGAAATATCTGTTCCTATTATAGAAGAATGCCAACCGGAAGGTGAATTTAAATGCAAATGGTTCATTTTGCTGTGTAGATAGAGGCAGGAATCATTCTGAAAAAAAAATCTATGTTGTTTGCAACCTGTGTGGAGAGTTTCCTCTTCTCATGGAGGCTACAAAAATTGCTACTTTTGTGCTTGGCGTACAGTAAGTAACCTCATTTTGGTATTACAAGAAGCTTGTTTTCTGTTCTGGCAGCAGCTAATCCACTTTTGGAGACTTCCTGAAAGTTTTGATGCCTACTGGTGTATTGAGTTCTTATCAACTACATGTATGGTTTCAGTCAAAAATAGCATAGATGGTAGACATGATGGGTGTAAAGGAACCATTTAGCTTAATAATAAAATGAAGTTAATACTATAGTAGTATAATTGTAAACTGAAGCTTCATGAAAATGGTTGCCAGTTAAATTGTTAGTTTTTAAAAGCGCTAAAAGAAATCTGTGAGCTTCCCCCCTTTTTTTTTTTTGGTAAATGCAAAATTTTGTAAGTGAATGACTTTGGACTTAGTCATATATCAGATATAACAAATTTTCTATCTGTCATGGTATCCCAGCAGTTTTCAGTTTGAATCCCATGTGAAATTCAGCTGTGAGCTAGTTTCTTAGGTTGAAGTACTTCTAGCTATCTTCCTTGAGACT